CTGCGCCACATTTTACCAGAGTACATTGTGCCACGAACAACGCGATGATGTATCGTCCTTTTTCGCGTGGATACCAGTGAGGAAAGTTAGTGTTATGTTTTGCTCTGATTTACCTGTAAAACGATGTGAAGGAGATCGTGCTTCACTTTCACAACTCTTGCTTTCGTTCGTAATGCAGTATGTGGAAGTTTGTAAATCTGGACGATTAATTGAGACATCGTGATTTTAAACTTAGTATGTCATTTCTTAGCAGTCTCGCCTCCTTGGTCGAACGCTTAAATGCAGAGAAATCGTCGTTACTAAAGCTTGTAGAATACTTAAAACAAACGAAAACTGTAGAACTCGCTAATTTCATATATGCTTCGATCTATTCCTTTGCATCCAAACATAAATTTAAGCTAAAGCTTTAGCATTTTCACTCATCGCGATGATCCCGTCCTCGACACAGTCTGTCAACATTCTAGAGACATTTAATGCGTTTCAGTAAAGAATTTACATGTATAAGTTAGCTTTCTGCTCCTACAATTCCACATCTTTCGAATCTCGCGATCTGGTAAAGGGGAGATTGATTGATTGATTTTTTTTTATAGTTTATTTTATTGATACAAACATATTACAATATTGCAACAAATTACAAGAGTGGTGCAAAAAAGGAGGGTTTTTACAACTGATAATATTCTAATGAAAAATAGTAGATAATGTTTGCGATAGTAAATATTACAAACAATGTCTCTCTAGCTTTGTACAAATGTATATAGCTGGGGGAAAGGGCAACATAGTCACGTCAAGTCATTTGTCTATTTCAAGCTGGATAATAAATTTGGATATGAATTCAGAAGTATCTTGTTTCTTTTGCATTGTTTTGCTTGCATAGTGGTATTGCTTTGCATATAGCAGAAGAAGACGCAAATCCTTTGTTTGGTTATCAGAAAAACGAAATGTAGTTAAAATTTAATACATATTCACACGCACTAATTTCACGAAACAAACTGGTCGAAATCTTTTTAATGCATTTATCAAACGTGTTTCTTCAGTCTTGAAATCAAACACAATAAAAATGACAAAAAGGAAGACGCAGGTTTTTTTGCTTTTCATAATGATGTTCTCGGTGCGTCCAACACTCCAAAAATATCCGTCGTCTTACTCAATGTAATAGGATTATAGGAACCTTCAAAGGCTTTACATGTAATATTTTGAGCAATCAGTATTTGCCTGTGGTTTGAAAGCGGCGATGCTTCTGACTCGATAACGTCGGTTTGGATCTACCGCGTAGCACTTTTATTTTGCGTGGTGCAATTTCTGCGGATTTTGCGGATGTTGGTCGATGTTACTTGATCCGCATAGATAAGTTCCAGCAGAAAAAAAAAATAACCAGCAAAATTAAAAATCGCAAAAATTCACTCCCGTTGGTATAATCAAACACGGCTTTTAATGCCTGAGAAGACTGTTGTTTTGCCTAAAAAAGTAATAAAGTTGAAAATATTACATTTCCTTCCTTGTTAATGTCTCGCTGCTTGAAAAGGAAACCGCAAAATTTAGTTCCCAGTGGAAACTTAAGCCAATTCGAGCCGCGAAAATTTGTTCCCGTAAACCTCAAAAAGTCGCCAATCCGCAAAATAAAAGTCCCGCTAAAATTTCATGCTACACGGTAAATGAGCACATTAAAACAAAAGCGAAGCGTTTGAATTGCTTTTCTCTAGCAGTCACTTCCCCAGAAATGTGCAGAGAATTCCCTTCCGCGAAAGGAAACCGGCTCAGTCAAAATTTGAAACAAATTGTCGGGTTTTTGTCCAGGCCACACTTTTCGTCCCGCACCAAGGAACTACAGGATCATGTGACGTATAACACTGGAGCTTGGATGTGTCCCAAGAAGGTAACGCTATCTCTGGACTAGATTGTCAAAATAGAGGTGTTAACACGTCTGCTTAAGCTTTGTTGCCTTGTGTATGGGATTAGATCTTGAGGAATTCTCACTACCTAGATAAGGAGTTTCCCCACTTAAGTGTAGTATTCATTTATGATAATTTAAGTATTTCCTTCCTTGTATCGTATTTTCAAGTTTTCCAAAGAGTAGATAATGACTAGTTGATAGGCTTACCAGCTGAGCAGCTGGCCGCGGCGAAATATTGAGGCCTAGGAACTAGGCAATGAAAAGCTTAGATCAAGTTGACAAGATTACCCTACGGCCGCAAAGAAAACACAAGTCTAAGAAGACATCGAGGTGAGTGTATGAAAGCAAAGTTTCCCTGAATATGAACATTAACACGCTGAAATTAAACAGAAGTGACGTAGGTCAGTATGACGGTCAGCACAAAATGCAGACAGTAGACATCAGACTGTAGACCGGGTACAGAATGCAGACTGCAGAAATAATTTTGGATAAGAACCTTGGAGCAAATTAAAGAATGCTCAAGTGTGCAATGAGCCTGAAATCAATGTACATGCATGAAGAAGAATCGGCGAATTTTTACAAGGAAAAGCGATGCGTTGTTGGGGGATGTTTTCGTGGCGATGTGTTGCCATTCGTTTTCTTCGGTCACCCCAAAACGCAGACATTGCTGAAGTTGTCTACCAAGCTGAAGTTGTCTGCCAATTCACTGGCAATTCGCCATCTGCCAATTCGACCGGCTGAAACTGTCTGCCAATTCGAATTAAAATTCAATAGTGGAAATTAGACCATAAAATCATTTAAATATCGTTACCAATTGTTCAAAAACATATTCTAGTTGCATTCAAAGCTATTAATTTGCGCCAAACGCTCACGTAAATTTGTAAAAAGATGCAGTAAATATCCTTTGTTCAAAAGTGAATAACTCGTTGCGTGACTTTTCAATTGACACCAACGTGGTATCTTTTTCAAGCTTATCGTCGTACTAGCCCATCTCAACGGCCTTTACACCCATCTCAACGCAATTACTATCGAAAAATTTCACCTGAACATCGTGCTTTAACAACATACACGCTTGTACTGGCTTTTCCGGAAGTGAATAACTCGTCACGTGACTTTTCAATTGACACCAACTTGGTATCATTTTAAAGCTTACCGTGTTATTAGCTCATCTCAACGGCTTCTACACCCATCTCAACCCAATTACTATCGAGAAATTCCACCCGAACATCGTGCTTTAATAACATACACGCTTGTGCTGGCTCATCGGGAAGTGAATAACTCGTCACGTGACTTTTCAATTGACACCAGCTTAGTATCATGTTAAAGCTTACTGTCTTACTAGCCCATCTCAACGGCTTTTACACCCATCTCAACGCAGTTACTATCGAAAAATTTCACCCGAACATCGTGCGTTAATAGCATAAACACTTGTGCTGGCTCTTCGGGAAGTGAATAACTCGTCACGTAATTTTTCAATTGACACCAATTTGGTATCATTTTAAAGCTTTCCGTCTTATTAGTCCATCTCAACGGCTTCTACACCAATCTCAACCCACTTATTTTTGAAAAGAAAAGCACACGATCTTTCCAAGCATATTTAAGAATTCGATCGCATGGCTTGTTGCGTTTCAAGACAAAATGGCAACCGTTCTAATTAGCGGTACATGTATCCACGGTTGCTGTTTGTAATCAGTATTAGNGACACCAACTTGGTATCATTTTAAAGCTTACCGTGTTATTAGTTCATCTCAACGGCTTCTACACCCATCTCAACCGAATTACTATCGAGAAATTCCACCCGAACATCGTGCTTTAATAACATACATGCTTGTGTTGGCTCTTCGGGAAGTGAATAACTCGTCACGTGACTTATCAATTGACACCAACTTAGTATCATTTTAAAGCTTACCGTCTTACTAGCCCATCTCAACGGCTTTTACACCCATCTCAGCGCAATTACTATCGAAAAATTTCACCCGAACATCGTGCTTTAATAACATAAACACTTGTGCTGGCTCTTCGGGAAGTGAATAGCTCGTCACGTAACTTTTCAATTGACACCAATTTGGTATCATTTTAAAGCTTACCGTCTTATTAGTCCATTTCAACGGCTTCTACACCCATCTCAACCCACTTATTTTTGAAAAGAAAAGCACGCGATCTTTCCAAGCATATTTAAGAATTCGATCGCATGGCTTGTTGCGTTTCAAGACAAAATGGCAACCGTTCTAATTAGCGGTACATGTATCCACGGTTGCTGTTTGTAATCAGTATTAGTGGAAATACCGTGAGATGGAGATTACGAAACTTTTGAAAAGAACATTGTCATCAACGACCATCAACCGTCGGCTTTAAGCCGACAGGAGCGAACGATTGATGCCACCGCCGCCCTAAGGGCCTGATTACATGGCGAATTTCAGCCCGGGCTGAAATTTTGTTGTGATTACATAACGAATTTCAGCCCGGGCTGAAATATTAGCCTTGGCGCCAAATATGAAATTGTGTGCGAAAAGTCTCCAGAAAATCAAAATGGCGCCGAGAACACGAATCGTGAAAATAGGCGTATTGCTTCTCTCCTAGTTTGACCTTTTGTTGGCGCTCAATTTTTAACTATTGGGATAGTAACACCCTACAATGATGATGGAACTGAAACGAAACCTGTCTCTTATCCAGAAAGACGTACTTGCATAGAAAGAAAATATGTCCTCATCAAGCTTGCCGAGTTCATGGCTTTCCTGATAGCCTCGTGCTGTTTAACCTTGTCTCGATGTTCTTATATTCCATCTAAGCTTTAAAATTAGAGAGATTCTCTATTTTATCGCCTTTATTCCACTGAGATCGCTTCTATTTCGTAGCGGCAGCCATCTTATTTCCTACTTTTCAGCCCGGGCTGAAATTCAGTTGCGATTACATGGGATTTTTTCAGACTTTTTAGCCCGTTTGCCCGGGCTGAAAATCCTAGCCCAAACCGGGCTAGGATTTTCAGCCCGGGGTGAATCCTTCTCCATGTAATCGCCAATTTGATTTCATGAGAATTTGTTTCAGAAGCCGGGCTGAAATTTCCGCCCGGGCTGAAATTCGCCATGTAATCAGGCCCTTAATCAGTTGTTTACCTTGCCATTTGACCGACGATTGTTATCATACAGACATTCCCCATTACCAAAATCGCTATCGATGAAAACTAAAAATTCGTCACTTGTGATAGCGTTAAATAAGTTTATCTTCTTTTGCTTTCAAGTTTATTCCGTTTCCACAGGGGAAAGCGCGGTTCTCATTTTTTTTTCCTTTTTTTTAAAATCATACCTTTGGTTAATGTCGAGGAAAAGGTTGCTGTTATTCATCGTGGTAGATGCAATAATAAAGTGTATTATCGTTTGTCTCACGATGTAGTCACTTGAGATGTAGATCGCGACGT